TCCGTGTACCACATCGTCCACTGGGTCTGGATTTCACGCAGCCAGCTGGCTTTACCCGAGGCGTTGTGTAGGACGATGTCGTAGAGCTTCTGCATCTTCTTGACGTTTTTGCTCGTCGGGTACCTCGTGCCGTGTCTTATGATGGCGGTCAGGTGAATTTCGCGACATTGCGCGGACGGAGGCTGCAGGATGGACCTGTTTACAGCGAGTATGTCCTCTATGAGATACGGGTTCACTTCCTCGTACCTCCCTTTCGTGCTGAAGTATTTTGCGATCGCTGGTATGTTTGGATTATCCTCAGGATTCCCTTGGATACGAAAACAGCAGCAAAAGCCAGTTATGATGGTCAAATGAAGAAAAAGGATTTTCCAAAATGCGATCGGCATGGTGCAGGCGAGCAGCTTGTTTGTATTGACGGGTGCCCCCCCCAAACCCCCCCCCCACATACCAGACACAAAACCGAGTGACGTGCACCACGTGGGACTGTCCAACCAATCCGTTACACAGAGCCTGTCCTAAAACAAAAACAAAGTTTACATAATGGACCGCAGCTTGCCTCATAATGGACATTGCTCACTTTCAATCACATGACAGCTTGTACTTTACTCAGTGGTGTCCACGCTGTAATAACACAGTGTACTGGTTAGTAGTAAAAGTCCCGCATTAACTATACAAGGAGCCTGCTCATTATGCAAGCATGGCCCATTTCAGAATAATACATATTATAGTATTAAGTTATTAATTGTAATTATTGATGCATTCATATGTACAAAAGTTGTTTTTAGCTTGAATTTCACCAAGGTATTCATCAATAAGGTCTTATCTTTGTCCATAATAATAAAACAATTTGATGATTATATTTAGTTATACTAATCTTAATCTGCAATGTAAGGGGTCAAACAAATGTCGTGTGGTGAAAAGTACAGTATCTCCTTCTGAATTTTAGTGGAGTAGAAGTATTAAGTGGAAGAAAATGGAAATTCTCGAGTTAAGTACAAGTACCTCAAAAGTGTACTTACAGTACTTGAATAGATTTGACCACTGTTGCTTTTGTACATCTTAGTTCCAAATGGGTCTCTACAACTTAAAAAAAAAAAACTTGTATGAAAGATCATCAGAGATATGTTATTAACCCTGTAGCCAACAATGACTATGTTTCTCTATGAATTCTATCGTGTACTCTTGTACAGCAGTGTGTCATGTTTAAAGAAACCACTTTTTATGATCAAAGTACATGCCCTGGAGTTGAAGTGCATTGTGGGATTCATGGCATTCTTGTCATTGCTCTCAATGGTGGAAGAAGCACTCACATCCTTTACTTAAGTAAAAGTACCAATACCACAATGTAAAAATACTCCATATGACGTAATTAATACACTGTTATAGGTGGTTGAGCTGGTCTTAACTACTCTCGTCACTAAATATTTCCCTGGCTGTATATTTTAGTCTATTATTTGCTTTATAATAAAAGTTAGTTGTAATTCACTAGGTATCTAAATAAAAACTATTTTTACGCACAACTTTTCTGACCTTACAGTAATTCAATCAATTTAGATGTTACAAGTCAACCCACTGGTAAAAACTCGAAGATATTCCATATAAAAAAGAAAAGTGATGTTGTTGAATAACGTAACATGTTTGACGGTTCCAGATGAGTCAATCACAAATGTGAATTTAGTTTTCTTGATAAGAAAGGTGTTATTGTGAATTAATGATCAGTTTTCTATATTATAGTTATTTTTATTGAAAGAAAGAAAGACAAAAAAAATTCAGTGTTTCGAGAAACACAAAAGTGCCTCCTGAAAATGTTTGGTTACAGCATCCATATTTAAATTTTCAAAAGCAGAACATTTAGAAAAAACGCACATTCAACCAGTAACATTTTTCCAGGATCTACCCGGTGTGCTTTGACTTAAGCTGGACTCTTGAACAGCTGACACTCAGTCTCAAAGTCACAGCCTTGGAGCAGCTCCCTGTAGTGATTTCTGACGTCTTGATAGAGCGGTATGGAGGCCTGCTGGTTAGTCAAACCGGGGAAGGTCACGGGCTTCTCGTTGAGCAGCGGTTGCAGTCTCAGGTCGCCTCCTCCGCAGTCGTATAGCACCAGGACTAAGTTAGCTGCATAGGGCAACATGTGGCTGGTGCGGAAGGAGCGCTGGGCCTGTGTGGCGAAGTTGGTGGAAGTCAGGGCCTCGCTGTCCTTGAAGAAGCCCAGGAGGGTAAGCAAGGGCAGGAGGGTGTCTGCATGGCCGACCTGGACCGTCACAGCCTCAGTCACCTGTTGCCCTGACCTGGCAAACACCACATGGAGTTCAGAATTTGACATGGCTTATTTCATAGAATTAAGTGTAAATAAAACTCAAGAGAACACAAAAACACTAGCTACAAAGCAGAACAATATTCAATCGGCACCAAGAAATGTCTGGGTTGTTAGACAAGTGTTTATATCACAGTTATTTATCCTGCCATATCTGCGTACGGACACATTTTAAACCTCCATAATTTGTAACTAAAGAATAGAACACAGACTAGTCTAAGGGTACTTAACATTTCACAACAGCAAAACAACCAAAATTAGGGTACAAGCATTAAATATATATAGATATTTCACGTATTCCACTGAAGGTTTTCACCAAAGTCTTACCCACAGTTGTACGGACTGTGCAGGTCATTTAAAGCTCACTTACTGACTCTCGTTGGCTGCCTCGTTCAGTCGGTTAAACACATCATGGAAAAGAATGCAGCTCGACTTCCTGTTAATATCGTAACCATAGCCTCTCGTCCAGAATTCCCTCAGGTCACTTGCATAATCCACGACCTGTTGATGCAGATAGTTCACATGTAGCCTGTGTGTGGGTGGCCTTTACACAAAGAAGAATTTCCCAAAATAGCAATTTTTTTGCATTCTGTGAGATAACATTTCAAGCTGCGTGAGTGTTAGGTCAGCTTGTAACACAAGACACAGAACACAATTTCTAATACACATACTGCTAAAGGGTTTCTCAGTGAATGAATGGTGTGGCTTAACAGAGAAGGCATGCATTGTGACTTTTCTTTTTGATTGTATACTCCTTAAAGAAGCAATAGGATATCTAAATTACTTGTCGAATGTTTTTCTTTCATTTATTTTTCATTTGAAAGGGACTACAGTTAAAAACATTAATGTTCCCATGTAATGAACCATGCCAGATTTTAAACAGATTTGCATCTGTAGTCCTGTTGAGGGTGTTGTGTACCTCCGACCTAGATTAGACTGTTTGTTTACTTTTGTGTTTGCTCCGAAAGTCGGTTTATTTTCTGTGGCCCTAGTTGACCTATAAGTGCTCCTCTGGTTGGCTTAAAGTGCCCGTCTGATCAGCTGAAGTGCATCACTGTCACTTTGTTTTATCACTTACACTAGCTTTTGTGTTTCTTTTTTTCCTCTGTAAAGTCAGGAGACTTGGTTGTGATACATTTGAACAGTATTATATAGGAAAACGTAATTTTCTATGTGAAAAATAGCTCTATAAATAAATTGTGGTAGTCAAATAGCAGCCTACATAATTTTGCTGCCAAAGTTCCAGTGTGTAGACATTTTTGTTTTAAACATTGGGCTGTTTCAGCAGTGTCTAATACACATTTTGACATGTCACTGAAGAAAGGACGCGAATAGTAAATTGATGATGGCTGAATTCCTTTTAACTGCTTCAGTTTCACAGTCCTGGTATTGTTTATGATGGCTCACTGTCACATTGTCATGTCTTTTTGGGACACTTTGATAGATCAGAGCCATCGTTAATGTCGTTACTAACACCTGTGCTTTTACGACTACGACAAAAGCCTGTGAAAAAGGCCTATTGTGCAGGAGAACATCCCAGTTGTTCTCTCTGTTATAAATGGCTCAATAACAAATGAACTTGAAACAAACCATTTGCTGTTGCCGCATTAAATCTACATGCAGCTGACCATTAATTGCTCCTACCTTTGCATCATCCTCATCGAAGAGTTGACACCAAGGGGAGTTCGCTGCCTTAATTGCAAATTCATAAGCACAGAGGTCAAACGCCGCCGCAGTCATATCTGCATGGGAGAGAGGTCGGTATCAACTGTTTAGTGGTTAAAGAATGTAGGAAATGCAATCATTTAAAGATCTGCGATAAGCGGCATCCTCTCAAAACAGGCTAAACAAGAATGAAGTACACCACAAGAACAGTACAGTTGATCAGAAAGTAGTTTGTCATAATCTTAAAAATGAAGCACTTATAGGCACTTCATTATTGCACCTTCACTTTACCAGAATACTAAATCAAGGTCATGAATGACAAGGCTTTCTACCACCTGAGGCAGAGGCCTCCACACTTCTAAATTAGCTGATGATAAACGCTAAATACGTTAAGACACACATCAACAGTGTAAAAAGGCAGTGCTTCTGCTGATATGACCTTGAGTGATGTCATTGTAGGGGACCCTGAGCCGGTCTGCGATCTTCTCCGTGACCCTCCTCATCTCTGGTCCCTGCCTGAACTGGTCCACCTCTGACAGAGCTGAGGGGTTCTTATCAACTTCCTGCACAAACCTGGCGCACCGGTCAAAAAACCTCATGAGAGCATCGTTCACTGTATGGTCAAACTCCTTATCTGGGTAGAGAGAAGGTGACAGGTTAATGAGAATGTATCTAAGTTGTCGATCATCATATATTTTAGGTGGTTTTACCTGTAATAGCCCACAGCTCTGTCAGTCCTGCCTTGAAGGACAGTGTGCTGTTGACACACCTGTGCTTTGAGCTGCTTATGAACTTGATGAATCCACCTCTGAGCTTCACCTCTGAAATCAGTGAGGGGAACAGCTTTGACAGCCTGACGGCCAGATGCTTGTGGTCGTTCACACCTTTCTGGACGAGGCGGCCGTCCATGTCCTCCGTGTACCACATCGTCCACTGGGTCTGGATTTCACGCAGCCAGCT